GGTATGCAGGGGTCTCACATGGAATCTTAACTGCTGCATCAAACGACTATCCCGGCTCTATTATTTTTAAAGTAATGGGAGTAGCACTTAACATGGAACAAGGCAATGGAATATTTTAGAGAATCTGCATGTCAGGGGGTCAGAAGTTAAAACATGATGTGCAAAGCCACAGGGAGTTTTTGGAGATGACTTGCTTAGCTCGTGTCCGACCGCTTTCTCTGGCAGCCACCTTTCTCCCTGTTTTAAATCAGTGCTCTCTTCTACAGATGATTGGCTCAGAGGTGAACACTTGGCTGAGTCGGAGCAGTCAGATGTTTTTGCTCCCATATTTGGAAAGCAGATGCAGAGATAGCCAGCTAATAGTGTTCCTGGAACTCAGGTGAGATGAACTAAACTTCTGAGTGACCTCACTGATCATGTGTTCAGAGGATCCGAAAGCTGCTCTACAGAGGTGAAAAGTTAAACAGCTTCGTGAAGAGAAACCGAGACCAAAGGCAGACGAGGGGAGGGTGTCCTGCTGTGCTCCGGGTGACTTTTGGATTGGTGATCAAGTCACTGCTAGGCCAGGGTGCACCTGCCCTTGGGCACCATCTAGCATGACTATGTCCCTGTGTCTCAACAACATAAACTCCCTGGGTAAACATTGTTAAGGCATCATATAAAAAAGGGCAGGAACATTCTTGTCTAGTGTAGGCTGGTAGCAAGATCAGTAAAGATAAAACCTGTCCTTGATCTGGAAGTATGGTTCCTGGAAAAGAGAGGAAAGGGTGAATCCAGTGAAATCCAATCTGCCGGTCTCCCAGGGTCTTTGCATGAGCTGCCTGTCCCTCCCAGAAACCCCTGCTTCTACTCACCAGGGCTGCTCAAGCTGCCCTTAAGAAACCCGCATGCAGGGGCTGGCATTGTGGCATAACTGGTAAAGCCAATGTTTGCAATGCCTGCATCCCATATGGGTGCTGGTTCATGTCCTGGCTGTTCCACTTCTGAGCCAGCTCCCTGCTGATGGCCTGGGAAAAGCAGCAGAAGATGGTGCAGGTGCTTGGGCCCCTGCTGCCCATGTGAGAGACCCAGATGAAGCTCCTGGCTCCTGGCTTCATCCAGGCTCAGTCCTGGCTGTTGTGGCCCTCTGGGGAATGAACCACTGGATGGAAGATTCTGTGTGTGTGTGTGTGTGTGTGTGTAACTCTGATTTTCAAATAAATGAATTTTTAAAAAAAAGAAAGAAAAAGGAAACTGGCATTGAGCTGAAAAAGTCCCTTGCTCAGGGAGGTCATCCCTCCCAGTGCCTACCTCCGCATCCTTGTCTTCCCTCCAGTGAAACTGACTCTTTGATTGGATGTCAATACCAGCAGCATTCACACTGCCTGACTGACAAATGGCCCTCTCATTCTCCATCTCACTCCCTAAGATTTCAGCATCTCTTGCATGAATCAAGGCCAGAACTTTTGGTTCCAAAACTGAAATCCAGGGTCAGCTCTCTGGATATTTCTAAGTCTACCTGGATGCCTTGGAGATGACCTCTGCTTTCCACCTGACCTTGGGCAAAAAAAAAAAAAAAGGTGGTTTTTATCTAAACCTTTGGTCCACAAGGAAAAGCAGCAGCACCCCCAGCCCAGAGTCTTCCTCACCATGACAAAAGTCACACACAGCTGATGACAGCTGAAATGTGCTTGGCTGATTGTTCGTCTCTAAGGTTTCTGGAAGGGGAGGAATAATCACCTTGAAGGCAGGACGAAGAGGGGCAACAAAGGTAGAATTCCATTTCTGCCATTTTTAATCTGGGTGTTCTTGGGCCAGGTTCTGGATGTCTCCAATCCTCAACCTACTCACCTGTAAAATCAGCCCAGGAATAATACACCAGGCAGGTGGTCCTCAGGGGGCCACGAAGATAATGGGTGTTGCTTTATTGCCCCGTGTCTCACAGAGAGTCACTTAGGATCTCACACCCCCAAAAGTCAGCCATTCCTTTTATGAAGTTAGAGAAGTCGGGTGATGCTTCTGGCTGTCACTCTTGTCCCACTTCAAGTCCAGTCTTCCATCCCCAGACATTATTTGAGCTTCCTCTAAGTTATGTGTCCTGTGCAATAAAGCTATATGTTAATGTGGGGTGGTGTCCCGAGTCTTGTTTTATAAGGCCTTTGTTTTTTCTTTACTTCATACTAATGAGGTCCAGATAGAATGTTGTTGCTTTTATTTTTCTAAGAAAATATATTGCTTCCTTTCTATATCAACAGCACATGTGCTTAGAATTATTGGGTGATCAATACTAATTAGGTATTCTGTTCAGAGGATGTTTAATGTTTTATTCTAGGCTTTCATCTAGTCATTTGGAACTGGTTGGCTCAAACTCTCTATTGATTAAATTGTCTTCTTTTTGCTTGACCTCCTCAGTAAGCGGGGGGGGGGGGGGGGGGGGGAGCATGCCTTTGTTTTTTTCCTTAAATCTCAGACCTAAAAACCAGTGTGTGAGTACAAAAGGAAAAAAGGCATGCAATAATATCACTGTAAAATTCTGCTTCTGAATTCAATTAAAAGGAACTTTTGTTGAGACAAAGACTGGAATCCTGTGAAAAATTCTTATAATCTCTCTCTCTCCCTCCCCCATCCCTTCATTCTTATTTTCTAATAAATCTTATTCAGACCCGAGACCCTACTGGGAAATTTCACTTTTAGTTTTGGGAAATGTCAGATACCAGTGATGGGAATATCGGGATATTTAAGCAAAGAAAAAAAGAATTTCTTCTCTCTCACAAGTGTTAAAAATAGCCACAGGGTATGTTTCCCTCTAAATTCTGTAAAAAGAAAGAAAAAAAAAATCACCTTTGGACTAAAGTTAATGAGGGCGTGTTTTCCTAAAGGGAAAACCTTTTTAGAAAATGAGAAGAAACAGAAAGATTTGAAACTGCAAACAGTTGCAGCAGCAGGAGTGCCTCGGCCAGAAGGCGTCTGTCTGACCTCCTTGTCCCTGCCTCTGTCCCTTTGGGCAGGGCCATCAGGGAAAATGGCTCTGGCCACAAGCGCGCCCTTCTTTCTCTAGTTTTTCAGTGGCCGGAAGACAACAGAGTGAGTCCGTATCTCTAAACTTCCTGGAGGCCTGGCCTGCTGGGCCTGCTCAGTTAGCTGAGGTCTCACCTCACCCCTAGTGGGAGCATGGATATTCAAACTTGACCCCTAACCAAAAAGTAGGCCTCCCTTTAGTTTTCAGCCTAAAAAATCGGTAGTGGCAGCCTTACTGGTTCTAACTACCTTTCTCCCCAGCTCTTATTTTATTTGACTTACTCCCAGCATTGCCTATTCTGCTAAGGGAAAAGTTAATCCTTTGCTTACCTCTGCCCCAAATGTTCCCTTTTTGTTACTTCAACTTCCTCTTTCCTCAATCACTCACTGTTGTGTTCTTCCCCTAGTGCAAGGAAGGGACCACAGGCAGGGACTGATTCAGACAAGAAAACACGAAGAGGGGAAAGATTTTAAGAGGTGGGTCTATTTCCACGATCTATTTACAGAGGCCAAAATCAGCAGCAAACTCTCAATCAACTTGGTTTTGAACGTGCGAACATCACACGGTGCTTAGTCTATCCCTCCTTAAAAAATATATTTATTTGCTAATTTATTTGAGAAGCAGTGTTACAGACAAGAGAGGGGGAGACAAAGGGAGAGAGGTCTTCCATCCCCTGGTTCACTCCCCAAGTGGCCGGAGCTGGGCAGATCTGCAGCCAAGAGCCAGGAGCTTCTTCTGGATCTCCCACATGGGTACAGGGGCCCGAGCACTTGGGCCATCTTCTACTGCTTTCCCAGGCCATTAGCAGGGAACTGGATCAGAAATGTAGCAGCCAGGTCTCAAACCGGTGCCCAAGTGTTTGGGTTCCTGCACCCAGGTGGGAGATCTGGAAGAAGCTGCCCTGGCTCCTGTCTTTGGACTAGTCCAGCTCTGACTGTTGCAGGCATTTTGGGGAGTGAACCAATAGATGTAAGATTCCCTCTCTCTCTATCTCTGTCTCTGTCTCTCCCTCGCCCTCTCTGTAACTCTGACTTGAAAAATAAATAAATAAACCTTTAAAAAAATAAATTACTGACTCTCAAATTTACATATCTAACACCAGAAAAATTGGACGTGGTTGAGCAATTCATTGGAATGCTTCAGTTTTTTGGTTTTTTTCCCATGCTTACATTCAGAACTATTCTAGAGAAGAAGTAGAGGAAGACCTGCTCTTGTGGCAGGTGTGGGCAGGAAACAACTGGTCATTCCAGTCCTGCCCAGTACTACAGTTTGAATGGCAATAACGGGGTAGCTCCATGCCTTCTCTAAGTCTCAGTTTTCTCACCTATAAGATGGGCTAATAATGGTACCTGTCCTCTAAGTTTAAGAGAATGAAATAAAATGCTAGTGTCCATAAATCACTTAGCATAGTCCCCAACATTCAGTGAATCCTCAAACAATGCAAGTAGTGGCGAATCTAAAAGAGGAAGTCATGCATTTTACCGCAAAAAGTGTGAACATTTAGAATTTTCTCGATATAGTTGGAAGTTTGTTTACAGTGTCTCTTTTGGGTCCAAGATAGAGTTGAGGCTAGATATCACACAATTACTAACTTGCAAGTTTTCCTGTGACTTGGAGGTAGCTAACTAATTTGGGAGTATGTGGGAGGGAGAAACCAAAAAATGTTCCTTTGGGTAATTCCTGAAAACAGGGGGTTACAGATTAGGATTTTCAAAAAAGCAACAAAAGCCCCAGGCCATGTCCACAGAAACTGTTCTTTTAGGCTTCTGAGGCCTCTTTGACCTTTGTTTTATGAAACACTGACAACTTCCCATTTGATTGGTGAATTTTCTGCTGTTACAGACACACACACACACACACACACACACAACCATGCTCCCTGCCTGAAAGTTAAACCTATTTATGGTGAGCACTGTTTTTTCAATTAGGGTTATTTTCATTTTCCCAGAAGCCATGTGAGCTGAGAAAGCCCAAAAGTTTATTTTTCTTCCCTTTACTTTTTATAAGAATGTTAAAGCATACAGCATTTATCTATAGGTTTTCTTTTGAAATACTTATGTCTGAAATAAGGCGCCCCCTCTTTTTTATTTTAAAGATTTATTTGAAAGAGTTACAGAGAGGCAGAGACAGAGAGGTCTTCCATCAACGGCTGGAGCTGGGCAGATCTGGAGCCAGGAGCGTTTTCCGGGTCTCCCACGCGGGGGACAGGGGCCCAAGCACTTGGGCCATCTTCCACTGCTTTCTAAGGCCATAGCAGGGAGCTGGATCAGAAGAGGGGCAGCCGGGGTTCGAACCGGCGCCCATAGGGGATGCTGGCTCTAGCGCTAGGGGCGGCGGTTTTAACCTCTACGCCACAGCGCCGCCTCCCCACCCTCCCCCATTTTCATAACATGGCATAAGAGCTAGCACGCTTTTCACAGCATGGTTGTAGTCCACTTTCGTGGTAAACTCTTCTTCGAGAGCATGGATCCCATCCATCTCGCTAACTTTGGGGCAATGTCTTGCGCAAGTTGCTATTCAGTAAACAGAACTCACGAATGGTATTCGTGTTGCCGTCTCCTCAACATGTTCACCTGTGTATTAGAAAATATCGTTTCAAAGGCCAAGCTTAGCACGCACAGCTCTCATCACAAGCTCCCCGACGGTAGGGGACCCCAGACAAACCCCACAGGACCTCCCCATCGGTTTTGTGAAAAAACATTCTCGGGTGCAAACGCTGCGGGCGAAAGGGGAGCCTCGGCGAAGACTCCCTCGGCGGCCGGGCCTGCAGCTCGCGGGGCCTGGGAAAGCCGGGGTCGCGGGAAAGGGGTTCTTTCGGCCCGGTGGCAGGGCGCTGCCCCCGGGCTGGGGAGGGCGCCCGCCGCCGCCCCGCCCGCCCCGGCTCGCGCTCCGCCTCCGTCCGCGGAGCAGCAGGGGCAGGAATTCCGCGCGAGAACCCCGCGGCCCGGGCCCCAGCTCGAGAGCGCGGGGCGGGGCGGCTCGGGGCCGCGCCCTTCCTTCCCCAGCCCCCTCCCATCCCCCTCTCAGCGCTCCCCGCCCCGGTTCCCCGCGCACTCCTCCACCCCGGAGCTGCTCCTAGCCCCGCACCCACGCTCCTGCGCCCTCCCTTCTTTCCTCCGCAGCTCCCGCCTCCTCTCTCCACTCCCCTCCCGGGTCCCTCCCCGGCGCCCCTGCTCCCTGCTCCCTCCTCCCCCGGGTCTCCGCTGCTCCCCTTCCCACCCCTCCCCTGCATCCTCCCTCTCCTGCGCCCCTTCTCCCGGCTCCCCTCCTCCTCCCGGCTCCTCTCCCGGGTTTGCGGAGCTCCCACGCTGTTGCTATGGAGGCGCCCGCGGCTGTTGGCGGTGAGGCTGGAGCTGCCCTGGGGCCCCGGGGACGGAGCGGTGTCCCTGCCCAAAGCTGTGGGGCCCAGGAACAAAGCGCGCTCTCCCCAACCCGGGAGTGCTCAGTGAGACCTTCAGGCGCCCGGGGCCCCGAGGCTTAAGACCACCGCGAGTCTGCTCGCCCCCAACCCCTGCGGGCAGGCCCCCTGGGGCCGGGGTGACAGCTGCGCTCCACCGCGCCACCTCCCCGGCCCCCCGGAAGATCAGTGCGGCTTACTCCATCCCGGAGGTGTCACTGGGGCCGGGGGCACAGCCAGATGGCCCCATTTAACAGGACTGTCCCCTTTTGTTGGGGGCCGAAGCAGCGTCCAGGCCAATTTACATAGGAAAATGGGGTTTGTGTCCCCAATTCAGTGCAGTGCCCCGACAGCTGGTGGCTCAGTCATTATGTCAGGACCCCACAGCGTGGTGTTTGAAGTGGCTTTATGTGTGCAGATGTGTGAGTGTGAATAGCAATTGATTGGGAACCGGTAGCTTCGGGGGCCGACTTGGAAATACTACGTGGGTATTTTTATCAAGAATACTACAAAGGTAATTTTATCACCCTGGTCACAGAGTAAGATCGGAGAGTGGGAAGGCTTTGCCGATAGCGGATGCTCCTTTACGGGGCGGCCGTGTACCCTTTTCGGATGCCCCCAAAAGCCACATTGCTTGGGTCTCCGGCGGGGTTTGAAGTCTTTGCAACTCGGTCATTGCTTGTAAAAATTGTGAAGCTGCAGGTATGAAACACTGCTAGGACGTACAACGAAGAAAGAGGAAAGATCTACTCTAACTGGTTTATTACACTTTGATTCTGCTGGTGTGTATTCAGGACTCCAGCCTGTAAGAGGCTGCAGGTTGGCTGGTTTGGAATCGGTAGTTGAAATGCCTGTGCTGACACTGTGCAATGTTATAACAGAGGGGAGATTCTCCAGTTCTTGGCTTTTGCCAGTGAGCCCCTAGAGTCTCTGAGAGGTGAAGTGAGTTTTGTCCAGCAACGCTCAGCTCTGTGCAGTGTGAGCTCAGTGGTTTGAATCCGTCCAAGACGACGGAAAAGGAAACTTGAAAAGACAGTCGTTTTACCGGTCCTGAAAGCACCTTCATGAAGATGCTGGCAAACCTTTTCCACCAGTGCGCTGGAGCCACCCACAGGTAACTCCCTAGAAGACAAGGGGTGGAGAGGATTTTTTTTTTTCTTTCCAACTCAGCCTTTATATATTGATAATCTTTCGTTTCAGTCTGTATTGGAGCCAGTTCCAGCCACTAGAATTTTCCAGAACCCTGTCCCGGGATTTGTGACTTTGATCCCATCAGAGCGATGATTGTGTGACGCGGTGGACGGTTCATGGTTAGGGTTTGTAGGAAAGGGGAAATCGAAGCTGGGCAGGACTCCTCTTGGTCTCCTGGATGGGTGGATGTAATGACTGTCCTGGAGCCTGCACTCGCCTTCCCAGAAGACAGAAGGGTGATTCGCAAAGGCTTTGATCTCCACAAACAGCAGGATCAGCTACTTGTATAATGATTTAAAATAAACTGACGGGTGGGCCTTGTGGTGCAAGAGGTTAAGCCAGGGCTTGGGATGCCTGCTTTCCGTTTCAGAGTGCCTGATTCGAGTCCCAGCTACCCGACTTCCAATCCACCTTCCAGATAACGCTCTTGGGAGGGCAGCAGATGGTGGCACAAGTACCGGGTCCCAGACACCTATGTGGGAGACCTGGGTTTGGCCTGGCCCAGTCCTGACTGTTGAGAGCATTTTAGGAATGAACCAGATCTTTCGATCTTTCTCTCTCTCCCTTTTTGTCGCTCTTTCAAATCAATGAATCAATCTTTAAAGAATCTTTAAAAGATGGTCTTACATCAGGAAGGGTATTGAAAGAATTCTATTGGTTAAACCCTCTGGCTTTACACCCCAAGTGAGTTTACAAGGATTTAGAAAACACTGCTTCTCTGGAAGCCTTTAATTGATGTGTAGGGAACCACAGGATGCCACATTAAGAAGGCATGAGGGGCTGACCTTGCGACTTCATAGGTCAAGCCACTGCCTGCATCCCATATGGGTGCTGGTTCGAGGCCTGGCTGCTCCACTTCCAATCTAGCTCTCTGCTAATGCATGTGGGAAAGCAGCAGAAGATGGTCCCTGCACCCAGGTGGGAGACTGGGATGAATCTCCTGGCTTCTGGCTTTGGCCTGGCCCAGCCCCGGCTGTTGTAGCTGTTTGGGGAGTGAACCGATGGAAGATATCTCTCTCTCCCTCTCCCTCTCCTTTTCCCTCTCTCCCGCCCACCCTCCCTCCCTCTAACTCTGCCTTCAAGTAAATAAGTCTTTAAAAAGAGTATGAGTTTACATATTGCACTTCAGACATCTGCAAGAGCAAAGAATGTAGACAGTTGCACTGAACAGGAGATAGGCATTAATTGCTGCTCTGCTCATATCTGAACAAGTCAGCAAGTTTTTTTCTGCTTCATATTTGTTTGGACTTCCATGGTACTAGGGTGAAAATACAGAATCTGTGTTGGGGATGCCATGTACTGATCTCAGCTGTTGGAAAGAGAGGTCTTTAGGATCACAAACGATTAAGAGATAATTGTATGTTATAAACATATTTGAAATGGATTCCAGCATCACCACTACTGCACAATGTTTTTTATTCTCTATACTGCTTTACTTGGATTGTTCTTTAACACTTGCGACGGTTGGCTATTGAGGTGTAGCAAACAACCGCCAGACTCAATCTCAAAACAGTGATCATTGATTATAAGCACATGCATTGGTGGGTTCACGGCAGGCCAGCGGATCCAGGCTGGGCACACTGAGTGGCTGGGCTGATGTTGGCTGGGCTTACTTCTGTATCTAAGAGTCTCCTGGTCCTCTAGACGAGGTTGGGCTGAGGAGGCTTCCCTAGAACAGCTATGCCCTGTGTCGCTTGTCCTTCTCCTTGGACCAGCTCACCAGCGCCTTCTGTTGGCAAGGCAGTGTGGGCATTAGAATCATGAAGATCTCTTGTTTCTGTAGGATGTGTAGCAGGAATTGGCATGTTCCGAGTTCTATCTCATTCTATTGAACAGAGCAGATCACATGACCAAGCTCAAAGTCAAAAGGAAAGGAGAAAGCCATACTCATTCACTGCAGAAAACAGGACACGGGTAAAGTATGGGGGAGGGGGAAGCACTGGGACTGTTAATGCCATCCAACACACACTCACCACACTTCTCATTTCTCGTCCTGCTGGAAGGTAAGCCCCACATAGGCAGGGATTTTTGCCTGCTTTGTTTATTGCTATCTTCTCAACCCCCAGAAGAGTGGCATAGAAGTTTAATAAATATCTAATGAGTCAGTCAGGAGGATTATAGGAATTATTTTTGGCTTATGCATAAAACCAAAAGTCCTTGAGATAGTATGACAATGTATTAATTTATTCTAAATTAATGGCAAAAATTATCTGTTTACATCATTATCTACAATGTGGAAACTGTTGGCAGTTTAGATTAAACATTATTTCTTAACCCTTTTTCTTTTCTTTTCTTTTTTTTTCTTTAAATTTTTTTGACAGGCAGAGTGGACAGTGAGAGAGAGAGACAGAGAGAAAGGTCTTCCTTTGCCGTTGGTTCACCCTCCAATGGCCGCCGCGGCCGGTGCGCTGCGGCCGGCACACCGCGCTGATCCGATGGCAGGAGCCAGGAGCCAGGTGCTTTTCCTGGTCTCCCATGGGGTGCAGGGCCCAAGCACCTGGGCCATCCTCCACTGCACTCCCTGGCCACAGCAGAGGGCTGGCCTGGAAGAGGGGCAACCGGGACAGAATCCGGCGCCCCGACCGGGACTAGAACCCGGTGTGCCGGCACCGCTACGCGGAGGATTAGCCTAGTGAGCCGCAGTGCCGGCCTAACCCTTTTTCTTTTCAAAAAAATTGTATCTATTTGAAAGGCAAAGAGAGAGAGACTCTCCCATTTGCTGGTTCACTCCCTAAATGCCTGCAGCAGCAGGGCTGGACCAGACTGAAGCCAGGAAACAGGAATTCTCTTATGTGGGGGGCAGAGACCCAACAACTTCAGCCATAGCTTGCTGCTTCCCAGAGTGTACTTTAGCAGGAAACTCAATTGGAAGCAGAGCTGGGACTAAAATGCGGGGAGTTCAATATGGGGTGTGGGTATCCCAAGAGGTCTAACTGCTGAGCCAAACACCTGCCTGATTTCTTAAGCTTTTTAAAAAAGTGTCTAGATTTCAAAAGGTTTAACATTTTCCTAGAACACGAAGCCAGGTGCTATATAAAAAATTGACTACTAGATGGACAGAAAATTAGAAGCAGGAAGGAGGGACTTTACATGTGTCCTTTTTTTATTTTAAGATTTTTATTATTTATTTCTTTGAAAGATGGAGTTACAGACATCACAGCACCAGCAGAAATATATTTTACAGACAATATATTGCTTTTTTTATATGTGAGAATGAATAAAATACAAATTTCCAGCTTCCAGAATTTGAATATAAAAAATTCTCAAGACCTTTGAATTCAAACTGCTCCGACAGGTGTGGGATGCAGGAGTACTCACTTAAGTGATCTTTCTGGGGCCTTTGGATCCACAGAAATTCAACCATTTCTCCCCTCTCCATCCCACTCAACCTAATCTGGAACACCAAGCAGAGGAGTTTTCTTTCTTTT